TTATTATTGTTCCTGGTTGTGTTTGAGAACCCTTAGTAGTTCATAACTTAGTGGCCTCGTGCGTCATGAACAGACTTAGTGACATGTGTGGGTGTGTTGACTGAGTTAGGTGGTGAACCAGGGTTTCAGTGTGGAATACGACTGTTGATTTAGAAAAACGAGAAGAGTTGGGATGGGAAAGTTAATATTCATGTGATCAGATAAGACTGTTGATGTATCTTCCAGCTCATGCCGATGAATTCGTGTAGTCACTGGGGTTGGTTGTTGGGTTAAAGTGAATTCGTGTAGTCACTTTAGTCCATAACCTGTTTTGTCACCTGAACTTTGCCTGAGTTCAAACCAGGCCGAGATCGGATTGCGTGTAGTCCTCTGACCGATTCGTGTAGCGGTATTGGATATGCGTAGAGGATTTGTGAACCGTCAGTTATCCGGTGATATGAATGTTGACTTTATGTGAGATGTAGACCAGTGAGTTTTAGGATGGCTAGTTACATGACCTCGTTTCTTGGCTAAGTATAAATTCCTATGAGATGTAGGCCAGTTGTGTTTCTTTTCATACATAGATCGAGATTAATATTTAAATATCTACAATTTGAGACATATGATATATACATGAGAGTTTCCTTGTTTGGATTATTTTGCTCGACGTACTACATCTCTTGTTATAGACTTTTTAAGTATTAATTCTATCTAGTTGTATGACCATGTTAGTTGGATGATTTTTCTGATCGCTAGTTGCATGATTGACTTGTTACTTGATTGATTTTGTTGGATTTCTAGTTGTACGTTTTCTTTGTCATTCTGTTATCGCATCGTTTTTTCGCTTTGGTTTTCGTTGTTCTATTTGTTTGCGGGGTCTTGCCATGTGCCATGTATGCTGACGTACACCTGTTTTCTCTAGTGTACGTCAGACTTAGGAAGAATAGATTTAGCAGGAGCCAGAGGATTCTCAACAAGAGTACCCTGTAGACAGAGCAGAAGGAGTCGAAGCCTATTCTTTCCATTTGTTAGTTGATGGTTCCGTTTACTCTTGTAGTACTTTCCATTTTAGTTTGAACGACGTATTATATTTCTCTAGTATTCATTTGTTCATTTTGTATAAGGGCATGTTGACCCGAATATTATGTCTTGGATGTTATCCCATTTGTGATATGAAATTTTTATTCTGAGTTTGTCTATTATATTCTTGCTGATTGTGATCGGGGACCTGTGCCTTTACATTGTATTTATTTCCAGACGCTTAGCGTATTAGATTGAGAAAAAAAAATAATAGTGTATATTTCTTCTCAATCTAATACGTTGCGGGCTTGTTCACGTTCCGATTCCCCTGTATTTTGGGAAGCGGGGCGTGACAGGTTTTAGTGGTGGCCCATGCAGGTCACGGTCCCGAGTCCTCACTAGTAAGAATATAATGGATAATTTAGATACATATCATATTTCATCTATGAGACTATTCTTGAGCCTTATTCCATTTTCTTGAAAGATTTTGTTTTGTCCCTATCTTATCACTCTTTGACACCTGAGCTTTCCACTATTCTTGTCTCGTCGCTTCGCTACTACACGCTCTCTCCCTATAACTCCTTTTCCTTATACTGGTCGTTATTATATGTGTCATTATTTTTACGACTATGTTTTCTTTGATTTGACTTATATATCGTTTGATTGTATTGATTTCTATATTATTTATTACATTATTTTATGTATCACACACAGTGTTATATTGTATGTTTTTCATTAAATATATATATCATTACTTATATATTTTCGATTGTTCAAATCATATCATTAATTGTTTCACATTGCTCTAGATTTCATATATACATCACATGACATATTTAATATTCAGATTATTTTATTGTGTTTAATTATACTTTTTACATAGTTATATTGTGTATGTGCACGCTTTTCTGTCATACCATCTACCATTTACTTATATTATAGATTATTGTATGGTGTTCATATTTCGTGATATACTTTAATAGACTCATGATTTTAATATTCTACATATGCAGTATATTCTTATCCTTTACATTTTCAGTATATAGTTTTTATCAGTTAGTTTTGTCTTGCTAGATTGTTTTAGTATGTTCGCATTGGTTTCGTTATTCTAAGAGCGATGTATTTCTCTTTTGAAATTCAGGCATTATTTATATTGTTAAGTTTAGAGTTGAGTTACTAATTATATAGTTTTGTTACATTATCTCGTATCATTGGTTATTATTATTTTATAACTAATATAAAATATTATTCTAAATAGCAATTTTGAGTATGTAAAGTATTTATTCATGGTTTGTTTATAGTGTATTTGTATATTTGTTGTTGTTTGCTTCGTTTTGATATGTATTGTTTTGTCGTTACAATAATATACATTGTATATACGTATTATTTTTAGTATTTTATGGTATTTTTAGATTTTTACGTCTTTTATTGTGTTATTAGTTATTGTTCATTCTCTATTCATTATTTTCGTTACTTGTGTTATGTTTTACTTTTTCATTCTTTTATAATTATCATTCTCTTTCCATTGTAGTGTATTCACGTATATTATTATATTTACGATGTACATTTTTATTGAGTTATAGTCATTCATCATTTATAGTATCAACTGTGTCTAATGATGTTTTGTTTCATGTATTACCAATATTTATATTAGCATGTTCATCAATCATTCATGTTATGTTTATCTAAAATATATCAGTGTTTTTTTATTATACGAAATTATGCTCTTCTTATGTTTTTATTTGCTTATATGCTTATTTTACTTTTCATAGTTTATGTTTTTATATATTATACGTTTTTATCTAGTAGTATGTTTGTGAGTGTCAGTATTGTTAGTAAGCATTTATGTTTCAGTGTATTCTACGATTTTTGTATGTGTTAATTTATTTTGAGTTTTATACTGTCAATTTTTTCGTTACTTATTTGAATGCATTGAGTCTTTCAATTATGTTTCCTTATCAGATTTGTATTTTTATTATTTTAACTTATATTGTTTTACATCGTGTCACTCTTCTGTTTTGCTTCTCTTATTTTTGTATTTTTCGTAGATCATATTATATCAATATCGTTCTATTCTTATATTTTTCTTTGAATAGGAGTTGTTATTTTTGGTGTGAGTGTGTGATGTTATGACTTTATAGTTGTGTATACAGTTATTAATGGTTGTTACAATGTGTGGGTTGTTTAGTTTTGATTTTTGTGTTTTTACATATTGTATTTAGGTTACGTATTTAGTTGTAATATTTTTGTAGTTAGTGTGTTTTATATTTTATGCAGTGTATTCTTGCTAATGTTTTTTTTTCACGTTTCAATTTGTGTATTGCTATACTTATTGTGATTTAGTATTTTATTACATGTTTTACCTTTCATGTACGCGTTTTGTTATCATTACAGTTTGGTTATTATCAAGTTATATATTTTTCTTGTATGTCTTTTTATGTTGTCTTTAATTTTTTAATTTATTAGTTTATTTGTGTTATTTGGGTTATATTGTTTATTGGTTAATATAGTTATTTCTTTTACGTTTCATCAGTAGTTTCATAGTTTATTTTAGGATGTGGAATAAGTGTTATAAGTTTATGCAGCCTAGTTGCAGGTTTTGCACATTGTAGATATTTTGTTGTGTTTATTAGTTATTATTTTTCTCTTTTGTTAAGTTGGGTATATTTTACTTTAATAATGTATTTTATTATCTATTCATTAATTATTTCAATTGATGTATTTATTAATTTTTCATATACACGAGTCTCTGTATTACTGCTTTAGTTAACAGTTTATGTCCATAAATGATTAATATTTTGGATATTATTACATGGCAATTTATATGTTGTATTATGCTTATTCTTTATGTATATTGGGTTTATAGTTTTGTATCATATTTGGTTATTCTAATGAGTATAATGATATAATGGTTATTTGTATATTTTGATATTGTGTTCGTTGTGTAAATGTTATGAATACATAATTACATGATTGTTGCACATATTTTTATGTCTTTTATCTACGTCCATTATTGATATGTTTTTTACTTTCTATTATCAGTTATTATATGTATTATTTTTGCTTTACAGATTACTATATGATATCGTGCATATCTTATTTTAATTCTGAGGGCGAAATTTGTTTTAAGGGGGGTAGAATGTAATGATCATAAATTTTGATACTAGTTAAAATAATTTTTTGGTATTTTAAAATAGTTAATTATTATTTTTTAAAATAGTATTTGTATTTTTCCCAAATTTCTAGAAATTTCTATGATTTAAAGTTCAAGTTTTATATTTATTTAAATGATTTTGATATTTATAAATTTATTTGGTGCGGTGAAAATTTATAAAATTAATCCTTTATGTTATCGATACTATTATGTATCATTTTGAATAATACGTTGTATTATTTTTGCTATTACGTATTATTTCGTGTATTATGTTGAATTATTAATTATGAATTATTTGTGTAAATTATTGTATTATTTTAATTATTGCGTATCAGCTGTCGTATTAGTATAACAGGTACATTTTATTATATAGATAATTATTCCATAATTATTTGATTTTAAATGTAAGTAAATATATTTTTATTTTTAATTATTCTCGTTTAATTGTACAATATGTGAATATTTCAACTATTTCGTATCAACTGTTGTATTAGTAAAACAAATACGTTTTTATTTGTAGATAATTATTCTGTAATTAGTTAATTTTTTAAGTACCCGTAATTAATTATTTTAATTATTTAGTTAAATACCAAAACCCTAATTTTCTTTTTTTTTTTGAAAAATAAGAAATTTCCATTAAAATTAATCTCCAGTACATATATTACAGAAATGGCTAGGCTACTCAGGATTCTAACTAAGAAACTAATAGAGAGGGGAGATGACCCTGGCCGTCACCCTCCACTAAAGAACCTAGCGAGAATCCTGATTGACCCAAAGCCAAAACATAAAGCAAGTACAGATCCCATTACAAAACAATCTATCTCTAGAACCTGTAAAAAAAAAGAAATTATTTACAATGCTCTGCGGATTCCCAATTTGCAAGGATAGTATTGTTACCAGTCTTCCATGTACAGGTTCTAAGCAAGACATTTATATCCTCATAGAGTCGCCTAAATACCATCAACTTGTGCAACTGGGTAGCATGAAATATACGTCTATTCCTTTCTTGCCATATATGCCAGACAGCTGCACTTAAAGCCATTCTGGACAGCTTATACGTTCTGTCTTTCCTCTTGAACTTAGATTGAATATCTAGAGCTTCAGTTCTAATATCATTTATGACCGTAGCATCAAGCTGAAGTTTGAGTTTGCAGAGATTCCAGATATATGCTGAAAAAGAACATTGGAAAAAAAGATGATCTCTTGACTCAATCCCACCAGAACAGAGAACACACTCCACAGCTGATGTAATTCCAAATCTGGACAGTCTGTCCCTAGTGGCTAATCTATTATATAAACTTTTAATCAAGCAACAAGCCATCTTAGGATTTGAGGAAGGAAACCAGACCACATTTGAAAGATCAAAATTTGAGTAAGAGGTTCTTACTTGATCCCATGCTGACGCAAAAGTAAATTTCCCATTTGCATTTGGTAGCCAAATCCAGTGATCATCTTGACCAGTTATTTGAATATTTGAGATATGATGAATTATTAGAAAAAGGCATGGTAATTCAACATGCCATTGAGAGTTTTGAATGATGTGAGCTACTGACCAATTTTCTGTGCCTGTGAGATGTAGGTTTATTTGCTGCAGAATGTCCGAAAGCCTGCCTTCAAGAATCCATGGATCAAACCATAGAGAAGTTGTTTCACCATTACCAATAGATTTCCTTATGCAACACATAGCTTTAGATTTAATACCTGCTAAAAGCTTCCAAGTTCCAGAGTCCATAGCATGTGCCGGTGTATCCCAAATATTTCCTCCCCTGACATATCTTGCTCTCATCCAATTAGACCATAGAGTAGAAGTAAAAAGAAGTCTCCATATCAATTTAAGGGCAGCAGCATGACAGAGATCATTTAATTTCCTCAATCCAAATCCTCCTTCTTGTTTTGGACGACAAATATCCTTCCAGTTGATAGCATGTAGCTTACCCTTCCATAGAAAGTTAGCAAAAATTGACTCCAAACTGCGAACAGTTGAGTTGGGGAGTTTATAGACAAAATACCAATATGCTATGGTACTAAATAGAACTGATTTTATGAGTTCAATCCTCCCAGCAAATGATAAAGAGTATGTCATCCAGCCCTCAATCTTCTTCCTAACTTTATCAATAAGTGGGAGAAAATCTTTTGCATTAGGATAATTGAAAGATAAAGGTAGCCCCAAATATTTTACAGGTAGAGACCCACTTGATATGCCTATAACAGAACTTAGAATATCTTTATTTCTGCATCCTTTACTAAAAAAAATTTTGCTTTTGCTTTTATTGATACCCAGTCCTGTGTTAAGTGTAAGAGACTCCAACAAATTGTTAATGCCTTCAAAGGATTTCCTGTTAGCTCTACAAAAAACCAGCATATCATCAGCAAATAAAATATGAGACACTTGTAGATTCTGATTCTTCTTAATATTCTGAATTTTTCCCGAAATGGTAGCAAGCTCCATACTAATAGACCAAAATTCCATCACCAAAACAAAGATATATGGGGATAGAGGATCCCCCTGTCTTATACCCCTATTGCTTTGAAAAAAACCAGTAGAAGAGCCATTTAATAGGACTGAAAAAGAAGGGGTAGAGAGGCATTCTTTGATCCAGTTGATCCATATAGCTGGAAAACCCATGCAGTGCATAATATAGTATACAAACTCCCTATTTATACTGTCGAAAGCTTTATGCAAGTCAATTTTGAAACAAGCTCTTTTACCATGCTTCCTAGAGAAATCTCTTAGTAACTCATGTGCCAATAGGGAACATTCACCTATTTGTCTACCTTGAAGAAAAGCATGTTGATTATGAGAAATCAACTCTCCCACCACCAACTTCAATCTGTTGCTTAAGATCTTAGTAATAATTTTGTAAATAACATTGCAACAAGAGATAGGTCTATAATCTTGAATGGACGTGGCTTCTTTTGATTTTGGCACTAGAGTGAGAAAAGTGTGATTTATCTATTTTAGAATCTTACCTGAAGAGAAAAAAGATTTCACAGCTAATATCACATCATCCTTGATCAAACTCCAATTGTGTTGATAAAAATAAGCATTAAACCCATCTGGTCCTGGAGCCTTATCTGGATTCATTTGGAAAAGAGCCTCTTTAATCTCCTTGTGATTGATTTCCTTCACTAACCATTTCTTAGCTTCAAAAGTAAGGATTTTCTTCACTGTGACTTTAGGAAACACATTCCAGTATGTAGTTTGATTGAAAAGATCTTCATAAAATCTAGGAGCAATCAGCTTCATCTTGTCAAAAGAAGAAATAGGAGACCCATCTTTATCAATTAGATTCTTGATATTGTTTGAAGAAATCCTGTGTTTGATTGCATTATAAAAGAATTTTGTGTTTCTATCTCCTTGTTGAAGCCATAATTGTCTACTTTTTTATCTCAACTCATTTTCTTCCTTATCAAGCCAACCACTAAGCTCATATGATACTGCAGATTCTGAAGCCTGAAGTTCTTCATTTTCCATATCATGATTTAAATTATTTTGCAAGATCTCCAGCTGTTTGGATAATTTAATAATATTTGCCCTTGTTGAAGAAAATGACTCTTTAGTCCATTGTTTCAGAGCTAATTTAAGATATTTAAGTTTATTAACAAAAATGAACATAGGAGAGCCATCAAAATGATTTTTCCAGGCCTCTTTGATCACATCTTCATATCCCTGGCATTGAACCCAGTAGTTAAAGAACCTGAAAGGCTTCAGATCTGAATTTGTGCAGGCCACAAGATGAACAATAGCAGGAGTATGATCACTAGAAGAGGTACTTTTATATTCTATAAAAGCATAAGGAAATTTATCAATCAATGTGGAATTTCCCAGAGCTCTATCTAACTTACCATAGATTCTGTACTTTCCTTGCTGATTATTATGCCATGTCCAAGTTGACCCCGTACTTTTGATATCAGATAGACCACATAGCTGAAGACAGTCATTGAAAGCTTGAAGTTTCTTGGCAGTAAGTTTCATACCTCCAATTTTCTCTGAAGTGAATCTGCACACATTAAAATCACCCACTAGCAACCATGGCATATTGTTAACTTGAGAAGAGATGTCTGCAATGTCAGCCCATAAAGATGTTCTTGTTAATTCAGAATTCTCACCGTAAATAACACTCAATATCAGAGTGAGTCCACCATTGTTCTGTAGACTAATAGTAATTTGTTGTAATGTAACTAATCATACTGTCCCATTCCACACATCAGCATCCCAAGCCATTCCACACATCAGCATCCCAAGCTATCCATATTCTACCTCTACTAGAAGCAGTATAGTTGTTACAATACGACCATTGAGAAGGAATACATTTAGTAATTCTGTATGCCTTTGTTGATTTTACTTTGGCCTCTATTAAACCAATAACACTGGGTTTCAAAGATTGAATGTGCCTTTTAATATCCCTTCTTCTACCCAAATTGTTCATACCTCTAACATTCCAAAATAACATTGTCATGAGTAATTATTTGAGGAGGCCCTTGTAACTCTTTTTGGACCTAATGAAGATTCCTTTATTATTTTAACCTGGTTTTTCTTCTTCATTAACAACTGGTTTTTCTCAAGTAACCAGTCAGGATTATCAATAGCAATTGGAAATCCATTACTTTATCCTTCATCTTACCTTCTCCTGTTTGCAAATAATCATTCTCTTCTTGATATTTCTGCGTATGGCCTGGTTTACTAGGTATATGAGAATCATTTCCAGGTTTATAGAAACCTGTATTGGCTGCAGGGAAATTCTTCTTTAACATTGTTGCAGAAGTATCTGAATCAAAGATTTCCTTAGTAATTGATGTGAAGTTACCATTATCAGTTTGCTCAATATTATGTATAGATTCCTGCATGTCTTGTATCACAGAACTCTGATCAACCACAGCTTGATCTGAAAGATCCTCAGATTCATTATAATCATTATTGATAACAGCATCATCATTCTTCCTTTTTTCAGGCCCATTATCATCTATATTTGGTATAACCTCATTTACAACAACTTTCCCATATAACAAATTATCATTTCTTTCAGATATAATTGAATCAGGTAGAGCTGTTTTTTCCTTATCATAGCCATATGAGTTGGTAGCATCCTCTTGAGGAGAATCAGAATCTGAAACAATTTTTGGGTGATCGGAGCTTGCACCAATGTCTGATACACTATGTTGATGAGAATCTTTATTTGAATTGGTAGAGTCTATAACAGGTAACTCAACTTCTTTGGCCTTAACTATTTCATCAACTGTAGCTTTAGGAACCCATTTCTCAACTAGAACTACTGGACACTGATAGTCAACATGGCCAAAAACTAAACATTTGCTACATTTAGGAGGCACCCATTCATACTCCACATTAGTTTCTAACCATTCTCCATTGCCTAAATCCATTCTTACAGAATTGGGAAGCTGAGCTTTAGATGAAATTTCCACAAAGCATATGGCATATGCAAGTCTCTCCCCAGATGCAGTAGCTTGATCAATATATAAAGGAATACCCACAATACTAGCAATCCTTCCAATGATATTAGTAGACCATAACTTGAGATGCAATGAAGGAAATCTAATCCAAACTGGAACAGTTGTAAGGAGTTCTCGTTCTAAACCGATGTTTTCAGACCATTGTTTGAGAATAATAAGTCTTCCATCGAACAACCAAGGGCCACCATTTAAAACTCTGTTCATCTCTTCATTAGAACCAAATTTGAAAAAGAAGAATCCATTCTCTCTAGAAAAAATTTCAAGGGAACAGGTTAATTTCCAAAGACGTCCAACACATCCTTTTAGATGAGAATAGAAAGGTTTATCACCAAGAACATATCCAATTAAAGTGTTATTCCATTTCTCAACATTAAGAAGAATTTCTGATCTAGGGATAGAAGCATATTGCATACCTTTGCTATCGATAGAAGGGGGATAATATTCTAAAGAACAATTTTGGTTGATTACTCTGCCCATAGTGCAAACATCCTTCCATGATGTAGATCCAACAGATTTAAATTTCCAAGTTTCAGCAGTTCTCTGTTTCTGGTGCAATGTGAGGTTTGCTTTGACCCTAGATTCTGAATTATGATTTCGACCACCATCTTTTTTCAATGCATGTTGATGATTCTTCCGAGAATCGATCATAGATTGAGAATCATTAGATTTTGAAGAAAAATTTTTATACCTTTTACGGGAAATCACATTGATCCAATCTTGATCTACTCCCTCATTAGTTGCTATTGTTCCTGCTCCATTAGGATTGAAGGGGGCTCTCACAACATCTTGATCTGCGCCATTATGAATCTTCTCCCGATCTGTCATGGCCGA